GTTCTTTCCTTATTTTTTACCTCTTTTCTTTCTTACTGCCTGGTGCTAGCCGCCGTAATTTTTATGTGGCGGCACTAGTTTCGTTTTGCATTATTGTTTGTTCCTCTCTTATGCCTGATCCGGGCACACTCTTATGAGTGTAATAATAAATAAAAATATTACTGATGACACAGTAGCACCTTCAGAGAGGGCACACTTCGCGATAATTTTAAGGTAGCCTATAGATTTATAGGTCAAATAACGAATGTTTTGGTGCAGAATAGTGTATTGGTAGCAGGCATAGCAAGAAAATCCGTAGTACGGAAGAAATGTAAGGGCTCCGAAGACTAGTCAATTTTGGAGTTTGTACGAAATTATGAGAGAGAGGTGTTCGCTGATTGACACATCAGCTTTTCTATACTTCGATGACAATGCTTTGAACATGCTCAGGATACTTTGAAAACTAAAGACATTAGCAGAGCCAAGAAGCGAATCAACAGATTAAAAGGAGCTACATTGGTGGTGCAATCCCAATAATTAACTCTTCGAAAAAGACAACACGGCGAGTATCCGGGTTCCTTTCCTTCTCTTTTCTCCGAATAGTTTTTGCTCTTCCGTTAAAGGGGTTATTAAGTTGAACTCAGATCTTCGAAATTCGCAAAATACTGAAAAGCAATGAGGGACAGATTGCTTTTCAAAGTCATGATTCATGCAAAGTTCCAGTCATAACCAACAACAAACCAGGAGCCATTTTTTCAGGGAACAACAACTTTTCAGTCTGAATGAATGCAAAAATATGTGGATTCTGATTCCATGAGTGACATTCCTTCTCTATTGAAAAGACTCTCTCCTTTATGTTTATCACAGAACATGAGACATTCCCTAGACTCCTCCGGAACAGACTTGGAGAAGGATCGAGGGTGGCTCAAAGCTGTTTTGCAACTATGTCCGATCTAGGGCTAAGACCACTCTTCGGGCGAAATATGACCGACTTTCGGCTTCGCTTCGTGAGAATGCTCGGCATATCGAAAGCAGCTCACCTACAGAACACAGTCTCACTGACGAACGCACTCGCAGTGAACGTGAAATGGCAAGAGTTACTGTTTTGAGTGTTACACAACTTTCGTCCAACGCACTTGACTTTCTCAGTCTCGGGCCATCTTTCACCAGCGCAAAGCATCTTTTACGTTCCGTGTAGTTGTTGGGAACTTATAGACTGCGAGATTTAGTGCGTTGCAACGATCGCCGTGCACCCGATCACGAATCAGAGGCCTCTTCCAACTGCACCGTTTCCACGTCTGTTTTATGAAGAACCTGACTCTGTGCCAAATCTACATGTCAAGGTGCGAATACTGTCAGCTGGTGTGCTTAACGTGATAAACCAACATAGGCGGCATCAGAACAGCAATTTGACATTCCAGCAACAGTGACGCAATTCATGGCCAGCCTTTTGGGCGCGATCCGGATCGTCTGTACCTGAGCCCACAAAATCCATGCTCACCGGACCACCACACCCTACCTGCGCCGCGAACAGGATAGCGGACCAACCCCCCAAGAACCAAGGGGTATCTGGCTTGGGAAGGCCTCCGCCTTGCCACGGCGACCCAGCCATGGACTTCGCGACGGCGATCTCTGCCCCCGACACAGGGACCAGCTTTGTGAATGCGGCGACACAATCTACTTCCCCCACCGCTACTAGGGTGTCCCACCTTACTTACTTCCTATGCGGTACACGAAGATAGGGAAAATTAGCTTAATGGTAATCCACTACGCGCTACAAACACAACTTTACGGGGGCAAAACGAGAGAGCATTCAGAATGAGAATGCACGAATAAGCATGAAGAATAAATGAGATATATATANATATATATAAAGAGTAATAAGACTACATACAAAGGATACACGACACTCACCCTTCCTTCTGCAGGCGCCTTCCAAGGCAAGCTCCTTCAGCTGTTATAACCAGGCCCCCATTGGCCTCGGCGGTCTTCTTGGCTTTCTTCCCCCTCAGTATCCGACAGGTGACAGCTTGCGCCTTCAATCAGGGACAGTTCGGATACTGGTCGGGCTTACACTGGCGCTCCGTTGACTTGCGGGCAACTTCATAGCGTTACCCGGCTATACTGACCAGCAGCCTACAGCCAGCCGGTCGCGGTGGAGGACGGGTGCAGACTAGCTAGACTATTCGAAGGAACGCACACATGGCTGCCGAGTAGAGATGGGCCGGGGCGCGCGGTGCGCCCAGCGGCCACCGTCGCATCCGCGACAAACGGCAAGGGTTTAAAGAAAGCGTGAGCTAAGAACAAACGGCACAATAGGGATCTCTGTGAACGATAAGGGAAGAGAGTTATCGTTATGCCACAGTCCTTGGAACGTGCCGTAACAGATCACCTGCTGGATAAAACCACATACC